TATCGTGGCGGGGGACACCAGAAATGGGCTTCACACATTCTACCCATGTCGGGAATCGAACCCGGGTCTTCGGCGTGACGAGCGATCGCTTTAACCACTAGGCTACCCGACCGCCCCGTTTTAACAAGAGCGAGAAAACCCTTTCCATATGCCACGAGGCACCCGTCAATTGTCACCAGACAACAGAAACTGCAAAACCAATGTCTCAAGCTGACTTGACAGAGCTCTAAGTTAGACCAGAGGAACTTTGTCCAATATGTAAAGATGTTGGCTTATTGAACGGATCAGGTGAAAACAGTGTCATACATACCAAAGGAAAGCTAAAACATCCCATCTATTGAATATGTACTCTCCCCAAAAAGAAGTGGATAAAAAACTGTACATGTTGTGATCGGTCGTCAGAAAGTAAATCAGTTTTGACTGTTAAAGCTTGCTGAAAATATTACTATGCCTTTTCTTGTATACAAACGGCAAATAAGAATTTCGACTGTTGTGCATGCAATAATAGATCTATTTCATAAGAAAGGGTCGAGAATTGAAGGATTGAAGTTGTATTTGTTGACGCTTTTCCGCTGATGAGCAAATTCCATTATGCGCGAAGCATTTCATGGTTAATTCCAATCCATATATTGACAGATGCACAAATAATAATGTGGCAGGCTCAAGTCCTTATGTACATAACTTTCAGTTACGATTTATTAGTTAGTAGTAAGGTTATATGGCCTTGTTACAATTTTAACTAATTAGTTTATTACGATATTTACATTATAAGAATATATTATTAGTTATAATATTAGTTATGTTTTATACCTAAGTATTTTATACCTTAAACATTCATTCTATAGCTCTGAAACATTAAGTAAGCTTTCTCTCAGTCTAACTTCCACTGATTGTCACACTGCATGCTTTTGACTTACAGCACTCTTTGCCCAAACGCGCCCCGTCCCAGTCTAATGTCTTGTTGATAGGCCAGGCTGGCCATAGCTACAACAATGTTTAGATGTTGAATTTTACAAAATCAGATGCTACTTTCACCTCACAAGGAAAGACCATATACTCAGCGCCGCATTCATTTCTTATCATGTGGGTTTGGATATGTGAAGGAATTTATTCATACTTAAGGCTAGTTGATTATTTATTTTATGATGTTGTATATATGGATGGTTTCTAATTATTGCGAATAGAAAAAATATAATTGTAGAATGCATTCATAATTTGATTTATCAGAAACATAATGCATCTTGTATATATTTATAGTTCTTGATGAACTCACAGTTCAGTGAGTTATTATTATCTGGTATAAGATAGTATTAAACACGAACCTAAATATATATATAAACTAAGTAATATAAACCCCTCTGTACAGTAATGGAAAGTAAATGTATGTCTGTATGCTTGATGTATGTTGGTAAGTGCAAGTGTATGAGTGTTGTATGTCTGAAATGAGTGGCTGATGTACTATACATTTTTATACACTATTTTACCATAGGATATTAAATTTTTTTATCGTACCAACAAGACTGGCATTCAGCTATACATGAAAGTTCGAAATCATATTATTATTCTTTGTATAAGCAAACATTTGGTGTTGAAATGTATATTACAAGGCTATCATGTGATAAATTTAGAAGTATTATGGCACGTTTCAGATGTAGTTCTCATCATCTAAGAATTGAATCAGGTAGACATAACAAGGAACCTAGAGAAGAAAGAGTTTGTACTGTCTGTAAACATGGTTATATCGAAGATGAGTATCACTTTATTTTAATTTGTGATTGTTATCAAGCTTTGAGGTCAGAATATATATCCTTGCATTATTATGAGTTCCCGACAAGACATAAGTACAATATTTTAATGTCATCTACCAACCCATTTACTGTTAAGAAACTAGCCATGTATATTCTGAAAGCTATGAATCTAAGGCAAAGTCTGTTGGGATCTCCAACTCCCATTACCACACTGTAACCATTGTATCATGGGCCTATGGCCTACAATACATCTGAATAAAGTGAATACCATAGGATATCACTTGTATATAGTATTCTGCAATTGCATTTCTTTATTATGCAGATTTGATAGTGTCAACGTTCATCGTGCAATCATTGTAACCGGTATTACCAGTACAGGTTTCACCTATCTGGTATGTAATGTCATCTTAGATATCGTATAAATATCTTTCATGATTTGCAATTCTTACCAAAAACGCATACAGTATGTTCATTATCACTTTATTATCATATTAATATAGTTTGTATCTGTGTATTGATGTATTGATGTATTGTACTGATACGTCTGATGTATTGTGTAATGTAAAGTAAGTGCTATTCATTTAATGGAAGTGATATCTATATTTTAGAAATTAAAAGAGTAACTATAACGGATTGTATATATTTATTTCTATGTAATATTTGCTTATGTTGTACTTTCATTGTTTCAGGCTGAATTAAGTACATACGTACATTCGTACTACCAATAAAATAAACGTATTCAGCCTCACCCCCCCCCCCCCCCCCCCCCCCCCCCCCACAGCTGTTTGTGATTATTTGGCCAGTTGATCGCTTACTCTACTATCGGCCAACACAACTATGGTTACAACAACAAAATAATCCATATAAAAAACCAAACCTTAATTATTTAAAACGAACTATATTAATGCGGGGAGTTACTTGTCGTGAGGTCATTCGCCCAAAACATCAAACATCAGCTTTCGTGCGAGGATCACGCATCATCCCTGATTCTCTGCTTTGCCCATTTCGGAAGCTTGACGGAACGAGAGCGTGTTTACTCATCTCCCACACAGTTCATCACATAAAACATCAGCTTTCGTGTGAGGATCACGCATCATCCCTGATTCTCTACTTTGCCCATTTCGGAAGCTAGACGGGACAAGAGCGTATTCACTCATCTCCCACACAGTTCATCACATAAAACATCAGCTTTCGTGTGAGGATCACGCATCATCCCTGATTCTCTGCTTTGCCCATTTCGGAAGCTTGACCACCGTCGCCGCTGGGTGATATATCATTGTCACTGAATGTGACTATTACCACTGTATTTTTGGTATTCGGCACTGACCACTGCCACCATATTATATATTGGCATTGAATATTATACTACCACTCTATTGTGTACTGCCATTGTAATTGCTGTGCTGTAATTTGTATTCATTTGTAAACCTAATTAATTTTGTCATACAATTATTAATTGTAAACCATTTGTTGGCTGTTTATTGGTTTGACACTAAGTTCTTTTATGTACAGGTTTCTTGTTTAACATATTGTTTCAATATTGGAATCGACACATAACATATTGTTCACATAATTATTGAGAGTCACAAACGAATGAAAGCCCTCGTCTTTCGCCATCAGCCAAGCTCGACTTATCTGACACATGTATCTTAACATTGATCTCTGTTGAGGACGGCTTCTTAATGTCGAGCTGGCTTTACAACGAACATCAACGGAATCGATCATAAAATGTACGTACATACATCAACAAATAGCACTGACTGTACAGCTTGTACTTAGATAGTATAATAAGTATCTAACGAGTATGGCAAACAAACTGCAAAGATTATGATTGAATTAGTTGATCTTTTCAAAATAGATTCTTTAATTGTTGTTGTGCTGTTATTTCCATCACAATGTTAATTGCTACCGCTGATGCCACGACCACTACTATTAATGCTGCTGCCACTTCTATCACTGATGATGTTAACGCTACTGCCACGACCACTGTTTTTATTGCTGATGTTACTACAACCGCTGATGATGTTAACGCTACTGCCACAGCGTCTACTATTTATGCTACTGCTACTTCTACCTCTGATGATGTTAAAGCTACTACTACGGTGTCTACAATTAATGCTACTACAACTTCTACCGCTGTGATGTTAATGCTACTACCACAGCGTCTACTATTTATGCTACTGCTACTTCTACCTCTGATGATGTTAAAGCTACTACTACGGTGTCTACAATTAATGCTACTACAACTTCTACCGCTGGTGATGTTAATGCTACTACCACAGCGTCTACTAATTTATGCTACTGCTACTTCTACCTCTGATGATGTTAAAGCTACTACTACGGTGTCTACAATTAATGCTACTACAACTTCTACCGCTGGTGATGTTAATGCTACTACCACAGCGTCTACTATTTATGCTACTGCTACTTCTACCTCTGATGATGTTAAAGCTACTACTACGGTGTCTACAATTAATGCTACTACAACTTCTACCGCTGGTGATGTTAATGCTACTACCACAGCGTCAACTATTTATGCTACTGCTACTTCTACCTCTGATGATGTTAAAGCTACTACTACGGTGTCTACAATTAATGCTACAACAACTTCTACCGCTGGTGATGTTAATGCTGCTACCACAGCGTCTACTATTTATGCTACTGCTACTTCTACCTCTGATGATGTTAACGCTTCCCCCACAGCATCTTCTATTGCTGCAACTGCAACTACTGACGACG